ATGTTCTCGAACTAATTATGATTAAGAAAGTCTTCCGAGTGTGATGAAAAAATGGTGATTAACTATTGATAGCCTGCGTATACTGTCTCAAACTGATATGGTAAATTGGATGTGCTCATTGTGTTTTCCATGAATGCTGGGTTATTTTTGTTATGGTTGCTTTGTTTCATTCGTTCATACAATCCTTTGTTGTGAATAGTCTTTTATGTATTTCAGAATTCCCATTTTAATATTTGCTGTCATGGGACGCACGCATGCTTTTTTTGTATTGTCGCTTTTCACTGCCTGTAGTGCCTTGTGATTTTCTAACTTGGAATTTTTTTTTATTGGATGAAGGGGCCAGTCAAGCTGTGACATGCAGCTTTATTCGCTTCGCATCAAACCGCGTATATATTTCGTTTCTTGTGTATTTGTCACGTGGTTAGATAAAGAAACTCAACTCAAATATGTGGGGTTTAACGTCTCAAAACCACCATAAGATTGAGAAACGCCGTAGTGGAAGGCTCGGGAGATCCCGCCATCTGGGGTTCTTTCACGTGTACTCAAATGTGAGCACACGGGCCTACAGCATTTCCGCCTCTATCGAAAATGCAGCCGCCGCAGCCGGGATGCGATCCCGTGACCTGCGGGTCTGCAGTCGAGTACTTTAGTCATTAGAGCACCCCGGCCAAGCAATCACCACTGAATACTTCACAGCAATCTTAAATTGTTTGTCTAATGTTCGCATCCCATGATTTACAACAGCCAAACTACGTCGTCACGTGAAGCGGCATAACCGGACCTTATTTTTATTTTGTCGCATCGAAAGAATTTATTGATATTGGGCTCGCCGCGTGGTTTTTTGGCTGCTTAGCGGGCGAATCAAGCCGATTTCGGTGATTTCAAACACTTTCACCCCCTTCGCAGCCAAATGTGGACGCGCCTTACGCATTGTCCTTTGTTCACACCTCTGGTGCGCCTTTGTTTTCACCGCGCTGCTTTCTGAATCAAGGTGTTATTAAGGATCCTCAGCAGATAACATTTGTGCCTTGGTTGGGTTTCACCACTCTACAGCCATTCATTGACCTTTTGAATTGCGTCTTTCTTACACTCTTAAAAAAATGGAGTGACGTTCTCTCCATTTAGGGAGGAACGGCGATGTCCCCAATGTTCTTCTTTAAATAGAGAAACGTTGCTCCCTTTGATACAGAGAAACATGGCCCTCCCTATGAAAATCAACATGGCTGCCCCCTGGTGAAGCTAGTAGGCTTAGCAACTGCAGCAATTCTTGACTGATAAAGAGTACACAGCACTAAAAGTTACAAAAAACGGTCCCGCTGAGCTTGATACTGAACGAAATGATTATAAAAACAAGCAGACGAACTTGTGGCGATGAAAACATCGCGAAAGAGAACGACAGAGCAAGCAGGTTTCAATCGGTCAGCGAGGCCACGTTCACTCCGAAAGACATGGATACTGCAGAGTCCTAGGCTTGCTGTATTTATTTCTCGATGATTCACATAGTGCAGCGACGTTAGCCTTGCGTTTACGGGGCCGGGGGTCACGAGATGTGCCTCCAAACCGTAGACTCGATCGCAGCGAAACCATTCCGATGTTCAGATGTTCAACGTTATATAAGCAGCTGGAGGTGTGACAGCGTCATAGCCGTGAAGTAGGTGGTAGCTGGCGCTATCTGGAGAAACTGAAAGATACTAAAAAAAAGGGCGCGACGTACGTTGTCACCTCCCCCCCCCCCCCCCATCACCATTCCCTCGCGGATAGTTTACGCCTCAGCCCATTCAGGATTACTCATTGACACCGGACGCCTAGTATGTGCTGGTGTAATGCATATAGCTACCCATGCACTCAAGGACACATACGACACATAGCACGCAAATAAGGTGAACTCAATGAACAAGAGCACAATATACCATTCACAACAGCACCACACACTATGAAGTGTTTACTGACACCCTACTACGAAAACGCACAAGCTTATATAGCGATAAATTTCGAGTGACCAGGATGGCACAAGTTACAACTAGGTTTTCTTACACTTTCTTTACGTTTTGTGGCAATACCATAACATGTGCACACGTAAATATATTGTATATGATGCTTAATCAAACGGAAGTTTGTAAACGGTTGCACAATAATGAACGGAATATTTATTAGTGCTTATCTAGTTTTCGCATAAGCGAATACACCCAAACCATGCATAAATTGCCTAGGGCATTCCAAACGCTGGGACATCTCTCGACCACTGCCACAGTTATTTTTTTTCTTGAAGCATCCGAGAACGCAAACGCTTGCCGCGCGTTAGCCATTTTGGAGGTCACGTCTTTTTTTTATTCTTGTACTTGTTACTTGAAGAGGGCGCAGCATGCAGAACAGACTCAGTCTCCGTCATGGTAGGTGTTCTGTGGTCACGTCGACCTCGTTTAGTTGTTTCGTGTTAACGTTTGCTTAAATTCTTTTTACGTGCTTACCACAAATGTGACCGTTAGCCATGGATACAGTACACCGCTAGCCCTTCAATGACAATGTTTTGATGCGGTAGCGACCATCCTAGCAGTGTATACGTACGTTACAACGCGGGTCTTGCGAGAGAAATAAGCGATGACCTCGCATCCAACGGTATTCTTTTGTGAGCTATGGCAGTGGCTGTTGGCGTCACGGCAGCTCTATTACTTGAGTGGAGAACTATCACTGCAGTGCGCAAATTTACTATACCGTTATAGAATGTTGTGCCTACATACTTTTCTGCTTCAGATGCCTCTAGCGATTCGCCTCGCGTGTCAAGTTGCAGTCATAGTGCGTGCAACAATTTTGTTGTTAGCGCTTTGGCTGTGGTGTTTATTACTATGGATTTGGAATACTCTTTTCACAAAGGTGAGTGAGTGTTAGTACTTAACTGCTGTGCACAGCTGTTACTAGAAGTGCATTTTGTGTTGAGTTTCTCACGACAAAGGAGAATCATGGACGAGAAACGCATACTGCACGCGTGCCTAATTCCGTCTTACCTCTCAGTGCTGGCATGGACAATTCGAAACACATGCGATTGAAAATTTTGTTTAACTGACAGAAGTCATTGGTTTACTTTTCACAAAAGTGTAGTTATGATGATGTTTAAAACGTTTCTGATAGTTGTAACTTAGCCTGGCGAATAAACGCTCGGTGAAACTTCGCTGCCTGTTTCATTTCATTTCATTTCATTTATTTATACTGTTAGCCCAGAAGTGGGCCGTTACAGGGTGGAAGTACAAACAATTATTTGCAAAAAAGAAGTACCGTACAGGTCTCGAGATAATTTCTCGGTATTATTGTGACCAGCAACTCGAAGTTATACATAACATACATAAATGGAACACACATGCGATGCAATACATACGCACAGAACAGCACATGACGCATTTGAGGCGGCACTTTTGCACCGCGCTGAAGATTTGAAAGACAACTACTGCAGAATCATGCAACCAACAAAAAGTACGCACACACGCCAAAAAAAAAAACATATGTCACTGTTATTCGGAAAATAAACGTTTTAGATTCTGTTCAATCTTTTTTCCGATTGTGTTTTCACCTGCCGTGGTAGTATAGCCTTATGGGGGGTCGTGTGACTATGCTGGAGGACGCACGTTCGACTTCCGTCCTCGGTGGCCGTATTCGAATAGGGGTAAACTGCAAAGAGCATCCATTGTTGAAAAAACAGGTCACTGACCAATGTCAAATAAAAACAAAGACGTTTCGGGATCCGTACGGATCCCGAAACGTCTTTGTTTTTATTTGACATTGGTCAGTGACCTGTTTTTTCAACAATGCCTTTACCTGACCAGACGGCATTCCGTCGAACTCTCGACTAAAGAGCATCCATATGGCGCTGGTTGCACGTATCACTCTATCAATTGTATATGATTGTGCTTTCACGCATGGACTGTAGAGTGGTATCAGGTTTCCTACAATGTTGAAACATTAAGTGTGATGCTTTTTTATGCGCCTCATTGAATTCATGAGTGCTGTTGGTGCTGTGCGAAACTAAAAATGCGTGGGCTTACCAAGTATGTCAACACCAAAAAAAGCCATTATTTTTGTACACTATAAGATAATCGATAAAGCAAGACTGCTTGGAAAGCAGTGCTCCTTCTATTCGTGAAAAATTGGTAGTATGAAACAACACGAGACATACCCGGAAGTGTTCGGAGCATCGTGCGAGTTCCTGGCGATAAAAAAAGAAAGGCTTTTACTCTACACCAATAAAACAAAAAAAAAAAACATCACTCCTGCAATGCTTACATCAATCTTAGGTAAAAGCAATCGCTCGCGACTGGCCGTGGCTGGCTAGGCTTGGCGTGCGCACGCGCTCAAGACCCCCGTGATTGACGAGAAACTTGAATGCTGAAGGAGGAGCGTTCCTCTTTTGGTCCTTGCTGCGAGAGGGCGCGACGGGTAAAGCGCCTGAAAGGGAAGAAGTCGCGGCGCCGAAGGAGGAACGGGGGCCGTTTCTCCATTCTCGCTCCTTTTTTTTTTTAGAGTGTACTGTTTCCATGTCTTCGCGCTTACGCCTAATCATAAAGAATGCAAACGAATCTTTCGACTTCCTACCCGTCTAAGGCCGAATGAGGTACGCGATACGTTCCCGAAGGATACTGTGATGGCGAGAACGTCTACGCGTTGCTACGAACACGAGACGCCACTCATGAACAGCGGGCATAAGACGCAAGAAATGATCACGGCCCTGGTTTGTCCGAGCGTATGGGTCCGTTGACCTTATTGTCCCTGCATCGCTAAGTCCCGCTGATGCCTGCCTACACGTCCGTATCAGCAGCAATTGTCCACGGCAACTGCAAGACACATTGCAACTGTGCGGCCATTGCATCACATGCTGCTGCCAGCTTCTCTCAGGCCAACCAGGCATGTACTGTTTGCCCTGCACCTTCACCGCAGCCTCACGGTTATGGTCAATTTTCCTGCTGTCATCGTATAGTTTTAAACGAAAGACATATCTGAAGTGATACAGTGAGTTATAACAACAATGTTTATTTTTTTCCCTATTTAAGAAAAGAAACACCCGCATTGCCACTTGCACAGATAATAAGGTCACCAATAGGTGAGCCAGGTTTGGGGGTTGGTTTCAGTGATGACACGGACAGGTGTCGTGTGAGAACCCTCGTCGAAGCATCGCCGGAATGACGTTGAGGAAGATGTGTGAGTAGCCATGGCCACCATATTTCATCTGGAAGAAAGATTGGCACTATAATCATAATAGTTGGGGCTCCCTGAAGCTCGATATGATTTACGAGGAACGCCATAGTAGAGAGCTGAAAAAATTTCTACCATATCATATATATACACCTAATTTAATCACATGGACCGCAAGCATTTTCGGCTGAAATGCGGCTGGTGTGCGATTCTCTCACTTTAGCGCGAGAAACGAGGCGAGTAGCTCTAAACTCCACTATTGTTTCTGTTTGATGAAATGTAGCTCAGCTGCTAGCGAAACAGTCAACAAAAAAGCTCCATTACGAACGCCACCAATTTCCCCGATTGTGCAAAGCATAAACTTTCGAATACTTCCGTAACTTGCCCCTACATGTGCGTCGAAGAAACAGCGGGCTTTCTTAGGAGAGGGTGTAACAGAGCACCGGTTAACAGGCACAAGGATGGGCACCTGACAGATATTACAAACTCTGGGCCTGTGTACTAAAAGATGGGCAAAACAGTCTTCTTAGAAAAACCATGAAATCACACAAAAGAAAAAGGCCATAGAGACGTTCTATATCAAATATCAAGCAATATTTTTGTGCATTAGCGCCCCGCCCCTATATGAATTAGGAGGACTTGGTGGGGTAGTTTTTTTAATGACTTTTGCTGGTTTATGATGATAAAGCCTTAACAATATGAGTGTCCCAGAAGTTTTTGTGCACTTTGATCGAGCTAAAAAGACCACGTTTTCGAGACTACACAAGGAGAAGATGAACCCACCATTTTTTGCCGGTTCACAACCTGAGCAGGAAACCTCAAGTCATTTTTCAAAAATCAAAACTTGGATCTTCCCTGAGCTTAGCAGGTGTGAAGACTTATTCAGGCTGCTTGAAAGCACATGATGCTGCTTTTTCTTAGCACGCATGACATTTTGCGGTCCCCCCGTGTGCGTGAAACGCACACAAAAACGGGGTTTTGTGAAGATATTTAGAGTTTAGTTGCGTCTTTGTAAATTTTACTGTGACGGCACAAAAGTTGCGTGTTGACAAGTCACAAAAATTTAAGAATGTGCAGTATCATTTGAACTCGACACACTTGAGCTATTGACCGGGAGCCTTCGTGCGAACACTTAAGCAAGCGAGCTATGTCCGGAAAGGACCAGACGTTTATATTTCGGCAGGACATGACCAGGTTTAGCGGCTTGCTTCCTGCTTTCCTGCCGCCGGCTTGCGTGACGGCGTTTTGTCCCAGTTTTTGCCGAAATTGGGCTCGTAGTCATGGTTACTTAGCCTGGTTCAGCCATGTGCATTCAAAACAAATCTTAGTGTGGCAGCCTGGCCACCCTATAGTGCAATTATATATGCTCCCTTCAGCAGCAGAGTAGCGCATAGGTCCGCCATATTGCCTGGCTAGCAACCATAGTTACGTGGCGAAGTTGCTCTCTGTTTTTGCAGGTGACTTTCTTAAGCCGATCGACGAAGCGTGTCGCTGATCACCAAACGACGTGCCTGGTGTGTCATGACCGACGAAGAAAGAACACCTTATTTCGGGACTGTGCCAAGGGAGTTCAAAAGCATGATTTCGTGTGTCTGGTAGCGCAAAGCGTGAAGCGTACCGCTGTGCGAATAGCATGCAGTGGCGCTGCAGCATGGTCAAGTGGTGCCAGCTATGGAAGGTAAGCATCAAGTCACAAACACATGTAGATTCTCTGATATTTAAGGAGAGAGAGAGAGAGAGAGATAAAGATGCAAGGAAAGGCAGGGAGGTCAACTAGACGCACATCCTGTTTGCTACCTTGCACTGGGGAAGGGTTGAAGGGGAGAAAAGATGTTGCAAAAAGATAAGAAGGTGCACACAATGACGAGCACACTCAGAAAAGCACATACAGTCTACAAGTGGTCACTCAGGTTTGTTGATTTTAAGCATAGTAGGAGGGCTTTAGTCGCTTTCTGCGCAACTGAGGCAGATGCCCAAGGTCCTAGAATTTTCTGCAGACAAAATGTTCTGGAGTCAAGTTTCATTTCATTTATTACATATTGCAGTCCGTAGAGCAAGCAGGGGGGGGGGGGCAAAAAAAGGGAGCATAGCGATAAAAGCGAACAAGTTATACAGCAAGTTAGAATACACAAAGCTACTGAAAAACAACCCATACTAAATAGGATGCTTAGGTATACATATCTAGAAAAAAAGCGAACAAACTTCTAGAAACAGTTTCAGCACAAAAAAGTAAAGCTACACAGTTGAAAGAATAAGTTGAAGTAATCTAGCATTGAAGTATCAACAGTGTTGATTACACAAAAGATGCATGTAGTTTTCAGAGTCGGGCATGCCACGTTCAGGAAAAACATTTGAAGGCAGTGCAATTCATTCGCTAATGGTTTTTGGAAAAAAGGAATGTTTGAAAAGGTTAGTACGTGCAAAGTAAGGTGTCAGATCATGATTGTGAGCATGCCTGGTTCTCCTGGAAGAAGAGGGAGAGATGTATTTACTGGGATTGATATTAAACTGATGATTACGAAGCAGGAAAAGAAACTTGAGTCTGGCGATAGTTCTACGCTGTTTCAAGAGCGGAATGGTGTTAGTAGCCTTAAGTGATGAAGGTGAATCAAGATTGTGATAGCCATTATAGATGAATCTTACCGCTCTCCTCTGGACCATTTCAAGTTTATAAACATCCTTTTTAGAATACGGGTCCCAGGCTGCGCATGCGTACTCTAGAGGGGGTCGAATAAATGTATTATATGCAAGAATCTGAGTCGGCGCGTTCTTTAGTTTGTGTTTAAGAAACCCTAACTTTCTCGAGGTGGAGGAACAAGCGGCGTCAATGTGGTTATTCCACAACAGTCGATTGGTAATATTGACTCCCAAGTATTTAAAATTGCACACTTCGATCAACGGATTAATATTTAAGGTGTAGCCTGATGCAAAAGGGGTAATTTTATTTGAGGTACGCATATAGACCGATTTACTAATGTTTAACTTCATCGACCAGGTATGGCACCAATCGGAGAGAGAATTTAGGTTGTTCTGCAAGCACTCTTGGTTCCTTTCACTTTTAATTGGCTTGTAAAGAATGCAGTCATCTGCAAAAATCTTTAGGCTTATGGCGGAGGTGTCAACTGATGAAAAAATGTCACTGATAAAGATGAGAAACAAGACAGGGCCAAGGACACTGCCTTGTGGAACTCCCGAGGATACAGGTAGAACCCCAGAGCAGCAGCCCTCGACCTGGACAAACTGTTTGCGGCTGGTAAGGTAGGAGCGGATCCATTTATTACAGTAATGGGTAGGCCAATGTTTGAAAGTTTGGTGAGTAATTTACAACGGCATACGCAGTTGAAAGCTTCTTTAAAATCTAAGAAGATGGCATCTTTATCAACTGCCATTGCGAAGTCGTGAATTGTGTTGACAAGTTGAGTGGTAGTCGAGAGGCCCTTCCTAAAACCATGCTAAAAAGGAGTCAAAATGCTGTTTTCCTCAAGAAATGACATTATGTATTGCGTGATGATATGCACAAGAAGTTTACAGGGACCGGAAGTTAATAATATTGTCCGGTAGTTTTCAACATTTAGGCTGATTGATTGATTTGTGGGGTTTAACGTCCCAAAACCACCATATGATTATGAGAGACGCCGTAGTGGAGGGCTCCGGAAATTTTGACCACCTGGGGTTCTTTAACGTGCACCAAAAATCTGAGCACACGGGCCTACGACATTTCTGCCTCCATCGGAATTGCAGCCGCCGCAGCCGGAATTTGAACCCGCGACCTGCGGGTCAGCAGCCGAGTACCTTAGCCACTAGACCACCGCAGCGGGGCTCAACATTTAGGCGATCACCTTTTTAAATACGGGAATTATACGTGCCGTTCGCCAATCATCGGGAAGAATTGAATTATGAAACAAAAGACAAAAATATGGGTGAATACATGCGCGATAGGTTCGGCGTAATGTTGCAAAAATCATTAGGTATGCCGTCGGGACCATTAGAAGATTTAGTCTTAACGTTCAAAACCATCCGGAGCTGGTATTTCTGTGTATCGTAGCAAGCGCAGCTGCACAGGACGTGTTCAGTGGTCTCTTCAGCTCCGCAGTAGTTGCATGTAGAGGTGTCTGCCATACGAATGCGAAAGGAGTACACCTTTGTGAATGCAACACTCAACCAAAGGCGGCATAACAGTGTCGCATCGGAGCGGGAAGTTGTGATGGTAGCTGTATCTTGAGCGAAGAATCCAGTTCATATAATTGACACTTTTGGAAGCTGGCAGACGACCAGAACGTGCGTGTAAGATCTCGAGCCGGCAGATAAAGTTCTCTTGCTGCATCATTCCTTGATAGAGGAATCGGGACCACATGGGTTCTTTCTTGGGCTGAGCGGGCTGCATCATCAGCTAATTGATTTCCAGTAATAACGATATGTCCAGGCAACCATTGATATATAATATCATGCCCTCGTCCTAGAGCTTTATGATGGCAATGTCGCATTTCATGTACCAATTGTTCATGATGCCTCCTACGCATGGCAGACTGCAAAATCTGAAGCGCTGCCTTCAAATCACAGAATATGACCCATTTTCGTGGACGCTGTTGAACGAGATATTATAAAGCAGCCCTTATAGCAGCAAGCTCTGATGCCGTAGATGTAGGCATATGTGACAACTTAAATTTGATTGTCATTGCTGCAGCCGGAATTACAGCGGCACCTGATGAGCTGCTGGACGAGACGGACCCATCAGTGTATATCTGCGTTCGGTCCAAGTACAGCTCATGTAATAATAGCAGGGTTGCTTGCTTCAGTGCTACTCTGGAGTGATTGCTTTTCTTTTTGATACCCGGAATTTCTATACGTACTTGCGGCTGTTCGAGGCACCACAAAGGACGTGCCAAAAAACATAATTAGGCAGTGTCCCCACTGAGCCCTCATTCCTGATTATTCCAGTATGTTTTTCAAAAATGGTGCCTAATACACGCCAATACTTTGCTGTCGAAGCTTTACGACACGAATCAAAAGCAAATGAAACCACCTGTTCGTAAC